AAGCCCCAGGCAACAGCCCTCTGGAGGGACAAAAACAAAGTTGCTGGAAAAGCTCAGCAGGTCTGGCAGCATCTGTGAAGGAGAAAACAGAGTTAACGTTTTGGGTCCGGTGACCCTTCCTCAGAACTCTGCAGGGGTCTAATTCGACTCCTCCTTTGCCTGCTGCCCCATGGATCTCTCTGTGGACTGATCCGGTTTGTTGGTTGTCTCATTGGGCTCACTGCTGACGTCTTGAAAGAATTCCCGGAGTTTAATTCGTCTAATGAATTTCTCTGTGTCTGCTGTGAGACCAATGGGGTCCATTTTGGTGGTGGGGCAGAAATTGAGTCCTCGGCTGAGAACTTTGACCTCATCTGGTTGAAGGGTGTGGTCAGATAAGTTGATGATGGATTTTCCTATGGCGGTACAGCTTTCAACTGTGGTACCAGGAGAGACTTGGTTATTGCTGGTGTTGATGCCAAGTTTCTCCGGTTTCTTGTTCGTGATGTGGTGTAGTTCTGTTGCCTTGTCTGTTTGGCAGTGTCTCATAACTGTACTGCTGTATCTTGAGTGCAGGCTGAGAATATGGACTCTATCTCGATTTCAAGGTTACGTAACTTGCTGCTGAGTTAGTATACGAGATGATTAAGGAGTTTGCGAGAGGTGTGACGGCAAAGTCTCTCAGCACAATCAGTGATGTAGGTCGACTTGAGTGGATTCGTGATCTGTAGTCGTTTTGGGATCTTTTGTGCTTTCTTGCATTTCTGTAGACACTTGATGTCTGTGTCGATATGCGTGATCTTCTCCACTTTAAGTCAGCAGTTGGTGATGTCGATGGTAGCCATGATGTGGAGGTACCTGACATACGCTTCCTTCTTTTTCTTGGCCAGAACCTCAATTTCTCTAGTCATCCAGCATTCTCTACACCTACCAGCCTTACCCTTCACCCTAACAGGAACATACTGTCTCTGGACTCTTATCTCATTTTTGAAGGCTTTTCACTTTCCAGCCATCCCTTTAACTGCTGATATTTGCCCCAATCAACTTTTGAAAGTTCTTGCCTAATGCTAAAATTGGCCTTCCTCCAATTTAGAGCTTTAACTTTTAGATCAGGTCTATCCTTTTCCATAACTATTTTAAAATTAATAGAATTATGATCACTTGCCCTGAAGTGCTTCCCCACTGACATCTCAGTCACTGCCTTACTTCCCAAGGGAAGGTCAAGTTTTGCTCCTTCTCTAGTAGGTACATGCACATACTGAATCAGAAAATTTTCTTGTACACATTTAAATTCATCTCCATCCAATCCCTTCACACTATGGCAGTCCCATTCTATGTTTGGAAAGTTAAAAACCCTGATCATTACCACCCTATTATTTTTACAGATAACTGAGATCTCCTTACAAATTTGCTTCTGAATTTCCCGTTGACTATTAGGAGTTCTATAGTACAATCCCAATAAGGTGATCATTCCTACTCAGTTTTACTGAAATAACTTGACTGGATGTATTCCCTGGAATATCCTCCATAAGTACAGTTGTAATGTTATCCCTAATCAAAAATTCCACTCCCCTCCTCTCTTGCCCCCTCCTTTCTATCCTTCCTATAGCATCTATACCCTGGAACATTAAGCTACCAGTTCTGTACATCCCTGAGCCACATCTCTGTGATAGCCATGATGTCCCAGTCCCACGTTCCCAACCATGCCCTGAGTTCATCTGCCTTACCTGTCAGGCCTCTTGCATTGAAATAAATGCAGTTTAATTTATCTGTCCTACCTCATTCTCTGCTTTGCACCTGCCTACCTTGACATTTGGACTTGGTCCTTTTCCCACTGCACCAGCCTCAGACTGATCCCTTCTCTCACTATCTCTCCAGGTCCCAATCCCCTTTACTAGTTTAAATCCTCACGTGTGGCTGTGGCAAATCTTCCTGCCAGTATATTAGTCTCCTTCCAATTCAGGTGCAACCCGTATTTCTTATGAAAGTTACTTCTACCCCAGAAGAGATTCCAGTAATCCAAAAATGTGTATCCTTCTCCCCCGCACTAGTTCTTCAGACACACATTCATCTGCTCTATCCTCCTATTCCTACTCTCATTTGCACATGACAGCAGGAGTAATCCAGATATTACTACCCTTGGGGACCTACATTTTAACCTCCTGCCTAATTTCCTATATTCTCTCCTCAGAACCTCATCCTTTTGTCTTCCTATGTTGTTGGTTCCAATGTGTACAATGACTGCCTGCTGGTCTCTCTCCCCTTTGAAAATATTCTGCACCCTCTCCAAGCTAATCTTGATCCTGGCACCAGGGAGGCAACACACCATTCTGATGTCTCGCTGTCGGACACAGAAACGTCTGTCTGTGCCTCTGACCAGAGAGTCCCCTATCACAATTGATAGCTTGGAATCTGGTGTACACCTCATTTCAGTAGAGTCAGTCTCGGTGCCAGAAACTTGGCTGTCAGTGCTACGTTCCCAAGAGTCCATCACCCCCTACATTTTCCAAAACAGCATACTTGTTTGAGATGAGGATAGCCACAGGAGACTCTGCTCCTGTGATGCTGCTTGGCCTGCTGTGTTCATCCAGCCCTGCACCTTGTTACCTGACTGTATCTATGGTTTTTCTACCTTCCTGCCATCCATCACACCCCTAGCTCCTGCAAATTCCTCGTTGCCTTTAACTGCTGCTCAAACCTATCCATGTGATCCGATAGGATTTGCAACGAAATACACTTCCTGCAGACATAATCATCAGTAACACTGAAATTCTCCCTAATCTCCCACATGCAAAAGGACGACCACATCACACTACTAAAGGCCAGCTTTGCTTTTTAATCTACAGACTAGAAAAGAGCACAGTCATACTGCTCTAAAAACACTGCTCTAAGGTAACTTAGTACCTATGTTTTATATTTTTAAAAAGGTTTAATCCAGAGACAGATCGTAATAAAACACACACAAAAAAGTTACCCTACTCTATTGTAGATTTACAAAAAAGCGGAGTATGGTTAGACTCAAAAAAAGCCACTTCGCCGTTCCAGTGCTGTGAGCTCCTGATACTGAGATTTCTCCAAGGTCAGCTGTGAATTTCACTATTTGTTTATTTTTCTTACACAAATTCTGATGCCTGGAGATGCTTGAAACTAAGCAGCACAGGTAGTCAGCTGTCTGGTCTGTCAGTTTTAGTGCTGTAACCATTCTGCAATTGCATTTGATTCCAATTGCAAAGACAGCAATTGTTTGCACTTCTCCAGTGCTGTTTGCCACATGACATGGGCACCACTGGGATTTTCTTCCATGGCTTTGAGACTCTGTTTCACTCACAGCACAGGAACAGCTAAGTGTTTTTTTAAGCCTAACCATACTCTGCACTAAAGGAGGTCATTCACCCATTGTGTCTGTACTAGCTCTGCAAGACCGCACCTAGTCTCAACACTGAAACTTCTTTCCCACATTCTCATAAATGTAATTGCTTTTTATTTCACGGTTTAGATTGGAATCAATTTAAAAGGTGAAGAAACAATAGAAACCGCCAGAATCTTAAAGCAGTAGCTTCTTATTAATTTAGCGTTGTTTGATTCCAGTACACGGATTGAGCAAAGTACTTCCAGAATGACAGACTCTGATACTCAAGGGGGTCACTGCTGTCTTTAATGTACATTTGCACAACATTTACAAGCCCAACTGGGCAGGCTGGTGTTTATGCTCACATGAGCACAGCCCTCTTCATCTCCCCCATCATCATATTCTTCTATTCCATTCTACCTCGTGTGTTTAAATGTATCAATGTTATTCACCACAGCCTCTCCCTGTGAGAGTGAGTTCCACATTCTCCTTGCTGTCTAGATAAAGGAATTATTCTTGTACTCTTGATTGGATTTATTGGTGACACTTAAATATTGGTGGTCCTTAACTCTGCTGTCACCCATAATTAGTGCAGTGACTTCACTTCAAAAAGTATTTACTTGGCTGAAAAGTACCTTGGAATGACTTCTAGTTGTGAATGGTGCTATGTAAATGCAAAAAAGTGTGACACATTTGCTTTTAGTCAGAATAATGAGGAAAGACAAAACAAATCATAGGTATAATTTTAGAGACAGTGTGGGCACAGAGCGACTGGGTGTGAATGCCTGCCAATGTTTGAAGCTTGCTTGGCAAGTTATTGAGTATTGTGTCCAAATCTCACATTTCAGGAAGAATGTCAAAGTCTTGTAGTGAGCTTGAGGAAGTGACTTACTTGAATAAGGGGCTTAATTTAATGTGGAAAGATTGGACAGGCTGGAACTATTCTCCTTGGAGGAAAGAAGTTAAGAGGGCGATTTATTAGAGGCAGAAATAAGGAGAAACTATTTTCAATGGCAGGGAGGTCAGTCACCAGAAAGACACAGATTTGAAGAGAATTGCTAAAAGAACCAGAGGGCGGATCAGAATTTTCTTTAATGGTGCTAGTTGTTATGATTCAGCATGTGCTGCTTACAGCACATACAATAGGGATTTCCAGAAGGGAATTAAATAAATACTTGAAGTTGAAAAAGTGGCAGTGATACGTAGAGTGGGATCAATGGATATATCTTTCAAAGAACTTACACGGACAAGATGGGCTAAGAGGCCTCCTCCTGTGGAATATCATCCTAAATCTTTCTTTAAGATAGAAATAATCAGGCTGTGACAAACATAAGTATTATTAAGATGTACATACTCTGTTCATGGCAAGCCTCAGCATGTTGCTGCCTCAGTTTTGCATATTTTAACCCACCTGTTCAGGCTTGCTATTATACACTTCAGGAGTATGTGGGACTTGGACCTAGATCTCCTGGCTCTGGGTTCGGGATGCTATCACCTGAACCACAAGGGCTCTTGAAAAACTATAATCATTGCTGAAACCAGGGACTTCTGGATCTTCAGTTGAATGTTCCCCCAACTGAGCTATTTCTGCTGAGTGCTTGACTTAGTTTAAAGCTACATTATTTGATGGAAGGTCATTAGCTTTATATATTAACGCTGTTTCTCTCCACAGGTGCCGTCTGACCTGTGAGTTTCCAGCTCTTTATGTCCAGGAAACATCTGCTGTGAAGTTGGTCAAGGGATAAATAATGAATTTTGGCCATCAAGACTTTCTCACTCTGAGGAATTGCACAGCCTCTATGAATTGATTATTCTCTATGCAAATTCCCTTGTGTCCCTTTTTGCTGGTCATATTTTGAGACTCTTAAAGATCCTTTTGACACATGTTATTCTATCTTAGGCTTATGGAAAATGTAGTCAGGATGCTCTAGTCTGCTGAGTGACCAAACATACTTACGAATTTCCCTAAAGACTCCACACCCTGTGAATGAGGAAGTTCTGGAAATTTATTTTGCATGTGTTTTGTTTACACAATTCTATTAGTGTGTAAATAGTATTCTATATATGAGGGAGTCAACAACAACCATTGCTGAGCTGTTTTGAAACTAATTAATTCCTCCTTAGAACTGGTTTTGGTTTCGTAAGCGACAGCAGCAAAACTGAAGCGCTTGGATTTTAATATTCTCTTTCTGAAATATTTTGAAGAAAATAAGATGAGGCGCTCCTATTCCAGGTGGGTTGTTTATTTGCTTAAGGATAATGTTATTTGTTAGATTTGCTCGGCTGAACTCTTGATCTCATAATCCAGTATATTTTGTGTAGGCTGCCAATGTTTTGTGAAATGCCAAAGTTCATCTGGGAAATTATCAGTTTACAGCTAAAAAGAGGCCATTCAGTCCATCATGTCTGCACCAGCACTCAACGTTCACCTACAGGACTGTTCTATTCATTTTGTTGTAGTGTATCAAAAGCCACCTCAATGCTAACCATGAAATAGGGGCTGCATCAGAATCATAGACAGGTACACCACAAGAGGAGGCTGCTCAGGTAATCAGAACCTGTGCCAGCTCTCTGAAAGGTCTGTCCAGTTAATCCCACCCTTCAGCCCCCCACTCTTTTCCCCGTAACCCTGAAAATATTTCTTAGAATACTTCTCCAATCTACCCCTTTGGAAAATTCCTGTTGAATCTGCTTCCACCACCCTTTCAGGCAGTGTGTTCCAGATCATGACAATGAAAAACAAGTTCTCCTCATCTTCCCCTGTGGTGGTTTTGCAATTCTCTTCAATCTGTGTCTGATGACAACCCTCTTGTCACTGGAAATAGTTTCTCCTCATTTACTCTGTTAAAACCCTTCATGATTTTGAACAGCTTGATTAAACCTCCCTCTTAACGTTCTCTGTGCAATGAAAGGAATCCCAGTTTTTCCAATCTCCTCAAGATTGGAGCAACATAAAATAGATAATGTAAATAAAGAGCCATTATATCGGGAGGAACACTATTTTGTTTAAATAATTAACCATAATGGACCATTAATGTCCATTTCTTCACAGTAGACCCAAACTCCAACCCCACTGTCCAACTTATGCCCATTTTCTTTAATATCCCACCTAGCCTAATCCCACACACCTTCTTGATCCCTATAACCTTTAATATCCCATCCAGCCTACATCTGCTCACCCCTCACTCCTCATTTCCTTTAATATTACACTCAGCCTAATCCCACTTTCCCTCACTCCCCTGACACATTAATGTTGCCCCAGTCTAATCTCACTCTCCCCCTCTACCCCATACCCTTTAATATCCCATCCAATTCAATCCTTCTCACTCTCTCACTCCCTGCAGCCTGTAATATCCCATTCAATCTGATGCCATTCTCCCCTGTTAACAGCCATACCATTTAATAACTCATTCAGTTTGATCCCACTCTCCTCCTGACTCCCTGTACACTTTAACATCCTATTCTAATTCCACTCACCCCTCATACCTTACCCCCATTAATATCTCACTCAGTCTAATCGTACTTTCTGGTTGATTGTCCACATATCTTCTGATATTATATTTGTTTGTAGCAACTATCTTATTCCTTTTTATTTATGGTTTTTCCACAACAGAATGTAGCAGAGGATCATTGAATTAATCACATTCTATACAGAAGAATTTCTTAACATATTTCTGACCTGTTTTATGTCCAGGATCCCATCTTATCTGTTCTTAAAATGAAAGTCAGCAAGTGTGTGTGAGAGAGAGAATACACGTCAGAGAAGGACTGGATCAAGTTTGTTTGTGATGCTTCTTGTAGTCAGAAAGCCTGTGAATACTCCAGGCTCATAATGAAATAGCTGGCGCTTGAATATGATTCTTGATAATATATTTGTTTTCCTGGAGAGGAGGAGAAAATTGGTGTCCATATGAATATATGCATATATTGAGAGTACACTTAAAAAGCAAATTTAGATACTGGGGCTCGAGTGGAGATGATTTACCCCATGGAACCAAAGATAATGGACTTTCAGTTACTGAAGACAGACTGGAGAAGCTCGGTTGGTCTCCTTGGAGCAGAGAAGGTCAAGCCAAAATTTAATAGAGGACTTCAAGATCATAAAGAGTTTTGCTACAGTAAATCAGGAGAAGGGACGGGAAGGTCAGTAAGCAGAGGGGCACGGAATGAAGATATTAAGAACCAGAGGAGGAGATGAGAAACATTTTGAGACAGTGACATGTCATGATCCAGAATACACAAAGAGATTTGAAAGCAAATAAACCCTAGGTTTACAAGGTTATTAATCCCAGAGCAGAGACTGGGGGATATATTTTCGAAAAGATTATGGGAGCAGGAAGAACTCGAGGGTTGAATGGCCTCTTATGTTGCATCATTCTCTGCTTCTCTAATCCAGAATCAGAAAGAGACAAAGTATTGCAGAACCTCTTCCAGCAATTAGAGGAAGCTGGAAGCGTGTTAGCTCGCCCTCTGGAGGCTGAAAGCTGGTATTGCAGCAGGTGAAAGATTGTTTAAAAGTTCAAATGGTTACGGACCAGAGATGGTTATTTGGCCTGTCCAGAGCTCCCTACAAGAGAAGCTCAGTTAGTTAAAATACCTCACCCTTTCCACATAATCTTGCATTTCTTTCTTTTTCAGATAATGATCACTTTCTTCCTGAAAGCCACAATAGAATCTGTCTCCACTTCTCTCTCAGGCAGTGCATTCTGGATCCTAGACAACAAGGTGCAGAGCTAGATGAACACAGCAGGCCAAGCAGCATCATAGGAGCAGAAAGGCTGACGTTTCGGGCCTAGACCCTTCATCAGAGTCCTAACCACTTGCTGCAGAACAAGTTTTTTCTCATATTGCTATTGTTTGATTTACAAACCTCCTTAACTCTTGTCAGTCTTTCTTCCATTGGGAACAGTTTCTCCCTCTCTACGTTGTCCAGCACCCCTCATGATTTTTAACACCTCAATCAAATATCTGCTCAACCTTCCCCTCTCCAAGGAGAATATCCTAACTTCTTCAATCTATCCAAATACCTATAAGCTCCTCATCTGTGGAAACATTCTTGTGAATCTTTTCTGCACTGCCACTAATGCCCTTCCTAAAGTGCAGTGCCCAGAACTGGACACAATACTCCAGTTGAGGCAGAACCAGTGTTGTATAAACATTCAACATAACCTCCTTACTTTTATAGTCTATGACTCTTCTATAAAGCCCAGGATTCCATCTGCTTTAGTAATCACTTTGCCACCTGTCCAATGACCTTTAATGATTTTATATATACATGCACAATTCCCTCTGCTTTAGAATCATCCCCTTTGTTTTATATTGCGTTTCCTCATTCTTCCTAGCACAATGTGCAATGTAAAGTCTTAACTCCACCTTAGAAATACTTTACTTCTACTTGTTTCAGATAGCTTAGGAAGAATGTCCAAGTCACTGAGAAGGGAGTGGAGAAGGGGAACTCACAAGACAGTGTCCAAGGCAGGAAGGGCTTAGAAATGAGAGGCTGAATGGTCTTTCCCTGTTCCTACAAGATGATGGAGAGATATGTGGAAGAATGTCTCATGACCAGAACTTATGGACAAATACCAAGATGTAGCTTGCCTGATGGTGAGGAAGACCTTTCCCATCAGACGCTTTCCATATGTCTGGAGCCTCACCCCCTCCTCCCTTTCCCTGGAAGTTGCTGTGATGGAGAATGGGATATTGTCCACCTGCTGGTGGAATGGGTGTTTGCAAAGAAGACCTGGAGATAGAGACAATGTTTCTTGTCAAGTTCAGTCAAAGTAACTCCATGAAGCAGCATACTGTACTCTTTGAGTGTTAGCCAAGGACACACATCACGTTAAACATCAACTGTGTCTGGAGGACCATCAATTCAATGAAAGACACTGAGATAACACAGCGTGGAGCTGGAGGAACACAGCAGGCCAGGCAGCATCAGAGGAGCAGGAAAGCTGATGTTTCGGGTTGGGACTCTTCT